ATATATGTATGTATGAATATATATGTAATATGTATATATGTATATATATATATATATATATGAGCATATATCTGTAACTATATCTATATATCGATAAATCGGTCTATTAGTTGAACTTAAAAGTAAAAGGTTTTACGTTCATATATCCTTGAAAGAAAATCTCCACCTACTCAACATTAAAAATAATTTTATGGAATAAGTTGCTTTCATTTCCCACGGCGTCCCAACCGTGATTTGTTAAAAACTATTCCTATCTTGTTTAATAAATGCCAAGACGTAAAAATTATTAACTGTCGTAGCGTGCATTGTAAAATGCCGGGGCCACTTCCGGGCTGTCGTTACTATATTGATTACTACTAACTTTGTCATCCGTCGACGAATTTTCTAAACTATCAATCAAATCGGACGCCCCGTGCCTAGTATAAGGATGATACTGTGGTTGGAAGACTTGATCTTGAGCCATACTACTTCGGAACCCGCTGTGCAAATTATTGACATTGCATCTATCGGCGGCGGTAGACTTCATGGCCGCCCCGAAATCGTTGTGCATCATCATATTATAATTACGAACTACCTGAGTATGTTGTTGCTTTGGCACTGGTGGAGCACCCATGCCATTGTGTTGTACAAACGGTCCCTGAATTTGTCCTTGGCCCTGCATACTCTGAATATTGTGATTATTTTGTGCATTTTGCTTGTACACACCACCTTGCTGCTGCATCATCTGGTGACCGAGTTGGAAATTTTCATTGCCATTACCATTGTAATTTCCAGTATGCGCAGCAAACTGACTACGCTGTGGTAACGTATTCTGCGCAGGCCATGTGTGCTGACCGTGGAAGGAGTTCAAATTATTCCCACGATACACTCCGCCACCAGCACGAGTTTGAATGCCATTGTTCCCATCGCTGCTACTTTGTGCACTCGCATGGTTTATAGCATTGTGAGCGTGTATCGTACAACACTCATCATCAATTTTCTGATGAACATTCCCGCTCTTATTGGTCGAGAGCTGTCCATTCGAAGGCATCAACATTGCAGCAAACGGTCCTATGTCATTGTTCGCTCTAGCCCAAGAGCCATCTCTCGCAGTAGAGCTATGCTGAGGCATCTGATTCTGTACCACCCCCGTCATAGATGTACCAGGGCCACTATGAGATGTATTCGTTCCGAGCGTAGCACCACTAGCGCTGCCATCCGACGCAAGACCCTTGTTTGCAAACATTCTAGCACTATTGTTCATAAATACCTTCGGCCTATTGTTCGTATTCGTACTCAGCAATGTCTCACTCCAAGCACTTGCAACGTTTGTATCAACAACGTTGTTGTTATCTTGCGGGACACGGTTCAATTGGACACTCGGACTATTCTTCGTACGTGGATGTGACCGAGATCGTTTTCTACTTGGTGACTTCGCACCCTTGCTATTGTTGTTGTGACCACGCAGATCGCTCCCCGATCTCTTTCGGTCGGCCTTCGGTAGCACTTCTGTTCTTGGAAATGAACGGGATCGCGCACGATCCTCCGAATTTGCCTCCGGTCGTTGTTGAGTGCGTGAAGACTGCCTGTGCGTCTTAGTATCAGAAACCATATCCTTTCCATTAAAACCAATAGTAGCGGTAGTGCCATCCAATTGTCCAACAACATCCTGCATTTGGGCCTGTTGTACGAGCTGCTGCTGATGTTGTTGCAGCTGTTGACGTTGGTGCTCATGCGCCTGTTGGTGTTGATGATGATGTTGATGTTGTTGTTGTTGTTGCTGTAGCAATGCCTGCAATTGCTGATGCCGGTTACGGTGTATGTGCTGCGCACTCTTGTCATGCATACCTTGCTGCCCTTGCTGGCCAGAGCCAATAAAATTGTTGTGAGGCGGTTTGTGGCCATGATTCTGCTGAAGTGATGAAAACATTGCAGTCTGGTTGGATGCATTTCTTCCATACATTTGGGACTGTGCATCCCACGGAGGTGATACGCCTGACAGGTTTTTTTTGTGGTGCGTCACGTTTTGGCTATCCCGTGTGTATGCCGAAGTAGCTACAGACATCACATCGTTGCGTTTATCCCTGCCCTGCTCGCTCTGCATTGCGTGAGCGGAACAGCTGCAGGATGGGTTATGCGAATCCGCGTGGAAACTAAAGTCCTCGCGGGTCCCTCCCGAAGGTGGAGTCGACCTGTCTTCTTCTGACGAACCAGTTGTATTGAAATGCACCGGTGCCATACCACCCGAATTACTGGTTGTAGTACCCGTATTCGCATCATTCATATTCAGAACCTGCCCAGATAATGAGCCATGATTGTGATAAAAGGACGACCCCATCGGTTGTGGTGTATTGTTGGATACATATTGCATGGGTATTTTGCCGTTGCCACCGGTCGGCGCCATAAATACAGAGGGGGGAAGAAACGACTTATCGCTCGCACAATCAGTCTGCATAGGGGGTGAACCAGCATCTAAATGACTATGCTTGGCACGATAGTGTACATGACTTCCACGCATCGGATGGTGCACATGACCCTGGCATTGTCCGTGCCCGTTACGCGCGATGCGTGCACACTGACAGCTTCGGTCATCAAATACATCGGTGGGGTGTGCATGGTGGTGCTTAGGGCTCGATATAGGGTAGGCTCGACCCGAGTAGAACTCTTTGCGCTCCCCAGGTGACTGGCCAGTATGACCTTTCAGAAGCCCGCCCTTAAGATGTTGCGCACCATTGTCCACGTTGCTGACGAAGCCATTCCCGTATTGTGTCTGCAACTGAATCTGCGGCATCTCTTGTTGATTAAGACCATGTGCTGTGCCATGCGGTTTCATTTGCTGACCTGGAAACATTGAGGCGGGTTTCAACTTCTGATTATAAGAAACATTTTTCCTGAATGGCTGGGCATTCTCACTAGACTCTCCCTGGTCGTTAGTTCTTGCACCTCCACCTTCATTGCTCTCCAACGAGGCACCTGAGCTGCTCGAGAATGGATTGCTTCCTCCGGGTACACCCAGCTGGGCCTTGTCACTATTACTAGAACTTTTACCATCATCCGACGATGACTGATCAGAATCTACATTCCGGGCATGAGTCTGTTCCCAAGCTTGGTTCTGCACATGGCTTTGTATTCTACTCTGCGCCTTACTACGTGCGGTCTCGGCCTGTGCTTGCGCCTGAACCTGTGCTTGTGCCTGGGCATACACCTGAGCTTTTGCCTGTGCCTGTACTTGAGCCTGATGCTCGGCTTGCAACTTGGCCTCCAACTGGAGCTTCTCTGCCTTCTCCCTCTTACTTTTACCTGGGATTGCTGCGGAAGGCTTAGCTTTGCTTGCCCCTGCACCTGAGCCGGCCCTTGTCTGAGGTTTGCTCTTGGGAGTGACAGTACCTTTCACTTGTGCCGTTGCTGGCACTGGGGCTCGCGGTTGCTGGGCGTGCGTCAATGGACGTGACGGTATGAGTAGGTTGGGCTGGGGCATGATTATTGGTTGTCCCATACCTCTCACCATGGGCCTTACCATCTGGACTACTTGCCCAGGCGCGACCATCGATGACATGTCTCTGTGCACCTGCAGAAAGCCTGGGGGGACCATTTGCAGTGGCAAGTAATTCACCTGACCAGGTCGGATTACGGGCAGTAGTGGTCGCACCGGCATAGTCTGTAAACTACCGAAAACGCTACCGCGCCTGTGTTTGAGTGTATAGTGTAGCAATCGCGCATGGTTTGAAGCGTACGATCGTCCACACCGGTAATACTGGCATACAAACTCCTTTTTTAGCTCAGAGTTCTTCCGTCGAACGCGTCCGACCTTCGCGGTCTTGGAATCCGTGGCACTGATACCATCCTCGCCAATAATTATTTCAACGCTCTGCCTCGCTCGAGTCGCTGCATCGGCCACAGTAGATTCACTGCCCAATGCAGTCGCCTCGTCTGTTTGTCTTTGTGCCCTGGTTTCTTTCTCGTTATGACCAATTTTCTCAATGCTTGATCGCTCAGCAAGATCACTGCGCTCTACATGTTTACTGCCACTGGAAGTAGACCCTTCTTCGGTACTAGAATCGCGCACAACTCTTTGAACATTTCCGTACGATCCTGATCCTCCATCTGACGCTGACTCGCTTTTGTTGTCGTTGTCTCCTGAACTGCCGACTGTGCCATCTTCAGCGCTAGCCGAGCGGTCACCACGTTCAGCCGTACGTGATTCGTTTTTGCTCCCACTTGATGTAGATCCTTCCTCTGTACTGATTTCTCTGGCAACCCTTTCGCTATTCACAAATGAATCCCCATTGCTACCTTCATCGCTGGCCGTTTCACTCTTCGTATCATTTCCAGAGCCCACTATACAATTCTCGGCGGTGGTAGCGCGAGCCTTCCGGTCATTTACAACCTGTGAGTCATTTTTATCAATCTGTCGACTTCCGCTACCGCTTGATGTTGATCCAGCTTCCGTGCTCTCGCCAGTGAAGGTCTCCTCATTCTGAAAACAAGCACCGCCGCCATCTGGCGGTGTAGAACTTTCGGCCAGAATGTCCCTTAACTTATCAGAGAGTATTTTGCCAGCATTGATAGTTGATACCTCATCGTTGCCATTCATCTTCGTCGCAGAACCTCGCTGCGTTGCATCTTCATGATTGGAAACCTTATACGTGGTATCCTTGATATTATATTGATCTGATTTCTTACCTATCCAAACAACCTCTGGATTCGGGATTGAGAAAATATGCAAATCAGTAACATCCTTGTGCGGCGGGACACTGCTGCCATCACGAGAAGATGAAATGAATCGTTTAATTTCTCTTCCAATGAACAATAGGAAGTAAAAAAGGTACTGCAGCAAAGCACTTCCACGAAAAGAAAACTAACCTCGGCCGCTGGATTTATCGGCATCATCCGGCTGCCCGAATTGATCCTTAAACTGTTCTGCCATATAGTTATTGAACTTCTTAGTTGTTTATTCCTCCTGATTGCGTGCTCATCTTAAACCCTTTTAAAGGTGTGCTTCGAAAGTGGAAAGGCAATGGTATGCATAAGTAATCTGATATGAAGTATAACAATTACATCAACGTCTCCGGAACTGTTGACTAAACTAAGACACGCAACTGACTCAAACACTGTGGGAAATAAGAGGAAGAAATTGAATACATCAAGTAAAGCTTGTAGATGAACAAAAATATCCGATAAGATACAAATAAGGCACCGTAGTTGGTAAACACAGTCCGAATCCATGAACGATGCAACAAACGTCATATAAAAAGCCTTCTTCTTAACACACTAAACTCTAATGATCAATCATAAAACATCCTGATACTAGCTGACGCATACCAATCATACATCTCATACCTAGTATCGGAATTGTATTCGTGGATTATCCGTTATATTCTGTGGTGCATTCGTGTTTATATTGTTGATACTTGATTCTTGAGATATAATCTCGTCGCGTTCCGCTTGTTTGCCTTGAACTGGGTGTTTAACTAACGTCAGGATATAGGTGGGCTGTAGTCTTATGTGAAAGACCATAAAAAAAATAGAAAACGCTGTCCAAAAAAATTGTTTCAACAAAGCGACTAGCCTATAAAATTAAAGCAAAGGCATATATCGAGGAAGTTTTGTAGTGAATCACTATTTTTCATTGGCTACCTCAGTAAAATCAAAAGGTTCTATTGGCTAAATGATAGACCGAGAATTGTTTTTAGAAACAAAAGTAAGCAGGACGCTAATCGGAAATATGTTTAAAACATGCTCTAAATTTATATTCGTGTGGTATGCAGTCTAATAATAAACAAAAGAGTATATATATACAAAAACATCAATTCCTATTTCCTACAATTTACACTCTACCGTACCGTACGGCAGAGCGGATCGGAATATTAAACATGCAATAGAAGATCTCCCAGACTCTCCAACCACTTTGTCATCCCATTTTTCTGTATAAAATATTGCGATCGTATGTCGTACCCGTAAAATTGTTTTTTCGAACAGATCATAAAAAATTTCAAACAAGAAAATTGTTGAACCCTAAACCGAAGTTAAAACCGGTATACTATATCCAATTATATACTGGCGCAATATAGTTTAACCAATAAATAATTTGTATCGTGAGAATAATTATTGTAATCCAATGATTAATGTATTCTTTGCGTTTGGAAACAAAAATGTGAGAGATATCGAAATAAAAATACTGCTCTCATCGAAACTTTCGATTAGAGCCAAATTTTTATACCTTCGGAAAAAAATACACCCATTAGTTTTTTATTGCACTCTCTCTCGATTTTCGAAGAGAGAGAAGAGAGCGAGCCTTTTTTCTCGATATTTGTTAATACTGCGACCTCTATGCTTGCGACCAGGTCTTGCGACTATTATGCCTGCGACTCTCGGCTGCGACCACTATTTTATGCCTGCGACTCTCGGCTGCGACCACTATGTCTGCGACCGGGTCTTGCGACCACTATGCCTGCGACTCTCGCCTGCGACCCATTTTATGTCTGACGCTTCAACTTACGATTCTAGGGTTTTAGGGTTTTAGGGTTTTAGAGATATAAACAAATACATATATCATAGCCCCCTGAGAAAAAAGAGATCAGTTGGTGATTATTCAGGGGCTATGCATATATTCAAACATAAATATATATATATATATCCATTTATACATATATACATAAATACATATTTACATATATATACATATACATATGCATATACATATACATATACATATAAATAATACATATACATACCCATATACCCACATACATATACACACATACACATATACACATATGCAAATATACATATACATAAACATATATATATACATATACATATTGCATATATATATATATACATATCCATATATGAACGGACACATATACACATACATGTATATACATAAACATAAACATGTACATATATATACACATATATATATTTGTATATATATATATATATATATATATATATATATATATATATATATATATATATATATATATATATATATATATATATATATATATATATATATATATATATATATATATATATATATATATATATATATTATATATATATATAT